CAATTGAAACATTACATATTACATCATATGTTCAATAACAATAATAATAATAACTTTATTTCCTCCATGTAAAAAGAAGTACAGTAAAAAAGAGTTTTAGAATAATAACAGGATATGTGTAAATATATTATGAAAAAAAAGAACGTAACTAGTATTCAGATCAAAGTTATCCATTTTCTTCACTACCACAAATCCCAACATACATTGCTGTTAGAATTCTGTGTTGGGTACGTGCTTAACACGACTACACTAGAAAGTACATATTGACCAATATTTAAAGATCACTTGAACACGGTGGTTGCATGAGAATGTAAATGTAGTTCTAAGGGCCATTCCAAAGTCTGAACAGTTAAAGTTTGAGTCCCTGTCTAAAGAACACTTTAGTGATATTTTCGTTTCAACACAACTGTGAACCCCCCACCCCCACCCCCATGCAGTGACATATTCACTGCTACATAAATAAGAACAAATAAAAAATATTTTTTATGGACCAGGATGTTTTCATTAAATTAATCCATTTATAACCTGCTCGTAATCTAACAGTTCATTTTCCAACGTCTCTCACATTAAATATTAATGGCTCTCCAAAATATGCCGGCAATGTTCATTGACAAGTGAATTTACTAAGCATTAACTATGTAGCCATATTGTGTGTATTGACTTGTGCATCAATGAATATAAACTAGTGCATCAATGAATATCAACTAGTGAATCAATGAATATTGACTAGTGAACCAATGAGTAATGACTAGTGCATCGATGAGTAATGACTAATGCATCAATGAGTAATGACTAATGCATCAATGAGTAGTGACTGGTGCGTCAATGAGTAATGACTAGTGCATCAATGAGTAATGACTAGTGCATCAATGAGTATTAACTTGTGCATCTATGAGTATTGACTACTGCTCATTGAAACGTCAAACGTACATCATGCATCTTTGGATACAATTGCCTGATTCATTTCATGATCTGATTTAAGAATGCCAAATGGTGACCATATTTGTTCCAAAAATTCATCAAATCTGGATCTCAGTTGTGTATGAATGGATTTTAAATTGTTCAAACTAAGTACTTGGTACATATATCAAATTTGATGTAACCTTGATGTTCATTACTTTGTTTATTTTAATGATTCAAAATGGCCGGCTGGTGGCCATGTTGACATGACACCAATCAAATTCAAAACCTAATCCAAACCTGAAATCAATGGAATATTATGTTATTTTGGTTTGAAATTAATGAGATGATTGAAAAAAAAAAATATCAAAGACAAAATGGAGGAAAAAATAACAGCATTCGGTTAAATGGGAATGCACTTATTTTAAGAAACTCTGTTTCTAAAACAGTTGTTCTAGTCCAGTCAATCAAAATTAATCATTCGGAAACAGTGTTTGATTCTTGCATAATAAGCTCAGTTTGCATAGTTGCACAGTATGTATTCGTGTAGATGTGAAATTTTAAATGATAAGAATTTGCACATTTCGTAATAATTAGTGAATAGCGGAAACGAAATGACACTTATGTCAGATTATCGTTGTTGTAAAACACATGCCTGCTTCTATAACATCAATTAATTGTTGAAAACCTGGTAATGAGTCGTAATTACCGAGTTGGTGGCCTTAGCCTTTTGGTCTAGGCACAAGAGGTCATGAATTCCAATATCAAATTATTTTTATTTGAATAACTTTTGTTTAAAATCTTCCGAAGAATCTTCCAATGTTATCATAAAAAATAGTATAACACATGAAAGTAATTAAATGAAAAAATTATGCACGGTGAATAAAAAAATAATCAATGTGAGAAATTATCTCAATGACATAATAGTTATACGTACATCTGTCGCTGTCTGTTGTTTCTCCAAATACTGTAAAATACTTTATTTTAGCTGGAATTAATTTTCTCTGAAAAAAACATTTTGGCTGTTTTGTATGGAATTTATTTATTTTCACTGATATTTTTCAAGTTGAATGTAAAATATATGAAAAACAGTATATTCACTGGATTTTTTCCTTCAGCGAAAATAGCGAAAATTAATTTCAAGCGAAAAATAAAGTATTTTACAGTAGAATATCTTCATGAATAAACAATATTTACTATTTGCTTTTGAACATGCTGACCATATCTTTTTCTCTGGCTCATCCCGTTTATCATAGAAGCTCCAAAGTAGGTTTCTATATGCTAGAATATTTGTATGACTCACTGAAATACTATGTAAAAAAAACATGCATTACTTTTGAAATGTCACAGTGGTTTGCCAGGGCCACCACCTGTAAGTACTAATGAAGTGAACATGTGTTGAACTAAAACTGGAAGGGAAAACTCATGCGTTCAATTGAGAGTGACCCAGATCTGAAGGTTGCTAGCACATGTGAATAAACATTCTAGTACAACAGTCAGAGTAATTGAAGTGCGCCCTCGCACATTCATTTCAAAGGAATATTAGAATACAAATCTAATTAGGCATAACTTACTATCACAACCTTTCTATCAAGAAAATTTTCAGTTGAACAGATCATGTTTTACTTTTTCTTCTTATAGTCTCGTTCATTATCACCTCATTAACTTGCATAAACAAAAATTATGTTTATCTCAAAATGTGGTCCATAACAGAATTTTTTTTTTCACATATGACTTTGTAAAAATATAAACAAGACATTCATATAAGTGTACAACCTTCACCTTCTGAGTGCCAAGGTCAACTTCCACAAAATAGTTTCATTTGTAGTCTGCTATTTTTCCAAAAAATGTGACTAAAAAGTTCAACTTTTTTGATCAAAAACTAGAAGTAATGTCACATTTTGTCTGTTTGGTCCAAAATTATGATTGAATTCAGTGAAATTTACAGAAAATGTGAAAATATTTACACCATTTTGAGCGGGAAAATATATTGGTGTTTAAAACAAATAAATAAGATGGAGAAAGTGGCAGGTAACATATAACAACAGTAATTAAAATCTTCGAACAAAAAAAAAGCAAATTAAAAATTAACGCTTTAAATTTTTTAGCATTAATAAAATTCATGTTTTCAATAAATAAAAACTGACGAACTTTATAGAGAAATGGTGTTTAGTGAGATTATCTAAACAGTTGTAAAAGATAACATGTGTATATTCTGTAGTTAAACTGCCAAGGTACCACAGGTATATACGTAACTGTGTTGACAGCTGGCTAAAACATCTGAATGCCATTCTGTTTGAGAGAAGTAAATACCACTGATTTATTTACAATAGACTTTTTTTCTCTCGGCTGTTTTCAAGGATATTTTAGTTAGTCTCCTTATCATTTCTACTTTACAGCGCAACCGCTTAAAGGCTTATTGATAAAACTGGAAATAAAATGCGGTTACAAACATATCATTTACCACAGCACGTAAATGCCCAATCATAGCGTGCTTACAAAACACTTGTGAAGTACAGGTTATTTCCTTTTTCACTTGAACACAGACAAAATAATTAGTTTACTAGTCTTGTCGGTCAGTCTGCATGATCGAAGTTATTGACAGACATTTCACAGTGACTGGATCTCAAGATCTTTTACAAATATATTTAAAATACCATTCTTTGTACAGAATGTAGCTATGGTATATGATATTGAAGAACCATTAGTATCAAATGTGTACTTACCCTTCTGATTTGTAGAAGAGTTAAACCTTTTGCTGCAGAAATAATACTGAACAAGTTTTTCACATTTTTAGTTTCCACTGTCACGGATCTGTTCAAATTGCTGATGATCCGTCATATTCTAGCGTCCGTCGGTATCTATATCAGCAATTATTTTTTTAATATGCCATCACTAAAAATATTTTTAGCTCCTCTGTTGACTTTGTCGAGTGGAGCTTATCATATGAATGATTGTCCGTCTGTCGTCCTTGTCAACTTTTTGCTTTTTTGACTTTTTCTTGAAAACTACAATTCTTATTGCTTTGATACTTGGTATCAAATAATATGTACCTTGAGTGGACCTCTCTTAGATTTGTTTATTTCGTGATGATATCTTTAATTCCCTAATTTTGTTGTGAATATTTTTGTAATTTTTGGTAAAAAGTGATATTTTCGATGAAAACCGCAAGTCTAATTGCCTAATTGCTTTGATATTATATATATAGATACTACATGTGGACCTCTCTCAAGTTTGTTAATTTTGTGATGATATCTTTGTCACTATCGGTAAAAAGTGATATTTCATTTCTGAAGGAAAGTGCAGATTATAAACCGGACTATTTTGTGAACTGGTGGTGAAATGGTTAAACCTTAGTAACTTAGTAAACTCAAAATCAAATCATTTTCTCAATTTCTGAAAACTGTGGATATGATGTCATACTTTACCCATAATTCTTTGCAGAAGAATCAAAATGGTGGACTACATAAATTAATTAATGAAAAGTTAAATATCTTGAGAATGAAAAGTGATATGAAAAAGCTGTAAATTGCATGTTCTTACATTTGCCGAGCTCTTTCATCTGGAAATATTATGTTGTTAGACTTGACTTTCTTTAAAGGCCTTAATATTATCCCATATCCAGTGTTCGAAATTAACGTCGGTCCGTCGGCCTCACGCCGACAGTGGGTGTAAAGGGCCTAGAGCTGTGAAAGACCATCAGTCCTTGTGATCGCCCATAAATTTATATTTAAAAAAAAAAAACGTTCCATTATTTAGTATGATTGTAAGACCAAATATATAATAAATATCGAGAGTAACTCCAGAATTGTTTCAAAATTGCGTTTTCTTGCACTTTTGATCAACAAATGGCATCACTCATCTACCTAGGCATACAAGTCATAATTCAAGCTCGCCAAATGATCACGAAATGCGCCGAACGTGGAAACTGTAACAAACGATCTGATTGGTTGTAGGTCGATCAACCCTCCGATTCAAACAAATAGAATTCGCGCTTACATTTTATGTTCCGCCACCTTTGATTTGCATCGAACACGCTGGTATCAATAGTTGCAGAGTTACGTCTACATCGAAGTATGTGGCGATATTTAAACTGCCAGGAGCCTACTGCTAAACGTGTGAAAACTACACAAGGAAGGCGTGACAAACAGCAAGAATTCGAACGGTCTAGGCGTAAAACAAGCACATTCCAAGTTAGCTGGCAGGCGGAGTTCAAGGACTGGTTACTTTTTGATAACAACAAAGTGATGTATTGCCGGCCTTGTCGAGGATCCTACGGTCAGCTGTCGGTTAGTAAGATTGTGAACACGATGCAAAATACATGTCAGATTCAGAGTCAGCCAGTGATCATGTTTTTTCTGAAGATTTTGATGAGTTTTAGTGACGATGAAAGAAATGATGATGACCTCTTTGAGGCTACAGATAATATATCTGATTTATTAGTAAATAAAGGTTTTGCAATTGCAAGCTTGTATTATTCGTTTAGTCTTTGTTTGTTAAATATCAGGGCCTACAGTTAGCTAGAAGGACTTACAGTTTTAATTTGACATAGGTCCTTCGGGCCTGTAATGATTTTCAGTTAATTTCGAACACTGCCCACATCGTATGTTCAAACTCGTTAAATGCATTGTATACATAAATTTTTGGGACCCATATCAAACATAGCACAATGTGATGTCCACCGCCCTCTGTTACAAGTGCATCTGAAATAAATGCATAAACGTATTCCCCCGCTAATGACTTATTATCATTAAATTTACAGTAATTGAAAGTTATTTTTAAAAGTGTTCAGTATCAAGGTTTCTCTTGTAGCTGTATATGGTAAAATATTTTGCATGTGTTACTCAAAAAAATTGTATGCTATTTACAGTACAATCTTTGTGTTCACAACCAGTGTGAAAAGATGCATACATGTACGAAATGTGTTCCAAAATCATTCTTGGCTTCCCCACGTATGGCAATCAAAACAGGGAAATTAATAATCTGTCTTTTTTGCTCCAATTTATTCACAATCGTGGTATTATTTATAAAGATAATAATACAAGATAACACATAATCATTATTTATGTTTTCTTTATTTTTTCAGTTAGTTTGTTCAAAAATGCACCAAAAATGACAACAGTGGGAAGTTCTTTACCAATTGTGTACCCAGATCACAGCAATTGTATTTATTACGTATTTAATGAACAAACTATGTATATACAGCCAACTAAAAAATTATTCTCAAAAAGGTAAGATTTCCTTTTTTTTTGGATGTTCTATTTCGCTGCAATGTAAAAACAATCTGATTTATTTAAATTTTGAATAGAAATGAGTAAAATGATGTGATTTCTCTTTTTTTTTAATTTTTTTTTTCAGTTTTCCAAGAGAGTTTTCTGTTCTTTTGAAGTTACGTTATGAATTATCAGAGACAACAAATTTAATATCTATATTAGATGAGAACAACAAAGTATATTTAAGCGTACATATAGGTTATCGGATGTTTCAATTACAAATAACGTTTGAAGATCTTAAAACATACCCGTAAGTATGAGGAAGATTCATACCACAGGTGTAAAATACATGGTGTGTTTATGCAAGATAGGAATGCATTTTATGCGATAAATGCATTTGGTGCTTTTAAGCAGAACTGTTGTCAGAATTGTGCATGTGTGCATTCTACTTTTATGTCACTTCTGTTCACTTGTCAGTCGTTTCGTAGTATGTCCTATATACACTGTTCAAAACATTGCTCACGGTTGAAACTTTTAATTTATTGTCAAAAAAATTTGTTTAACTATGTCGAAAAACACAAAATGTTGACAATGCAAAATCAGCATGTTTGGTATAAAACTGAAATAAAAACACTAAATCTTTGCGTGAAAGTTCATATTATAAATTACTATTTATATTGCAAGATAAGCACTGTTGTGTACAAGATATGACTTTTTTTGTGTTGTTAGATTTTCTCATCCAAGTATTGGAGATGGTCAGTGGCATTATTACGCAATCGGAATCAATAAATATTATGTGACACTGTTTATAGACTGCGTAGGGGTGCAGTCGATACGATTACAAAATAGCGAACCACCAAATATGCCGATAGATGGTAATATTATCATTGGAGGAAAGTTGCACAAATGGGACACAAAGTTTCAGGTAAGATTTTATCAAAATAGCATTCCACTTTTTATCATATACGGGAAAAAGTAAAAACCGAATCAAACACAATTGTTATTTTTGTAATAAACGTTGTTGTAGGCCACTTTAATTAATCCTTCATTTTGGCTGTCTCCACCTTTATCTTACACATGCCTTGGTTGATCATTTGTTTCATGATTTGATTTAAGATGGCCGGATGGTAGCCATATTATAATGATACAAATTCATCAAACTCAAGCATTTCTGCTATTCCGGACATGTATGGGTAAATTTTTCTCAACGACATTATAGAACCTTGATGCACATTATCTTGTTTTTCTGATCAAATTCAATATTACCAACTGGCAGCCATTTTGTTTTAATGAATGTGGTTGCATCGCTGTATCTCTGACATGCCTTGGCAGATCAGACTATACATACGTCTTGTCACACTTTTTCACGTGTATTTCTTGCACCATTAGATTCAAGATGGCCAAATGGTGACAATTTTAATATTAAAAATGCATCAAAATTGGTCATTTTTATCCCATTCCATATCTAGTTCTTGGTAATATATAGACAGCTAATGTCCATTGTGATACATACATTGAGAATATATATATAACAGGACCATAATATTTGTTTCAGATCATATTCAAAATGGGAGAATACAAATTCTGTTCTAGAGTAAGGTCTCTGACATGCATCGACTAATTGTAATCAAACTTTACAACTACATTATACATTATGTCAGTTGTTTAATGTTGTTACTCAAAATGACTGACTCATTTCAGTTTTGTTTACTATTGTCCTGATGTAACATATATTTTACATTCAACTCGTCAAAAATCAGTGAAAATAAATTCCATACAAAACACCTAAATGTCTTTTTAGCAAAAATTAATTCCGGTGAAAATTAAGTATTTTACAGTACATCAATTGACATAATTTCAAAAAAATACTGACCCCAATTAGTGCCATATTCCTAATTGTGTTTTGACGATTGACCAAGCTTCCTGGCTCACAAGGGATCCACTGTAGACAGGAATCAGTTTTTGGTGTTGTTTACGTAATAATTAATTCCAGCTAAAATAAAGTATTTTACAGTAATCATAGACAGTGGGAATGTGACTACAATGCTAATTCCACACTTTGGTTCTTCACATGATAGTCTTGTCAAATTCAGTTTAAATACATAAACCAATAAACAAGATGTTTTTAGTTTCACTGAAATTTACCTGATTGGTGACAAATTTTGTCTGCAAACAGTAAAAAACTTAAAATGTAGAATGTCCACGTGGGAAATCTTATTTAAACTTTGTAGGAATAATATGCTTAGTGGGTTACATTTGTACTGATGCAGATCGATATGGTTTTGCAATTTGATTTGGAATGATTATTTTTGAATAAAATTTACCCCCTTTCCCCAAACCTTTGCATCCTGAAATTCAAATTGCTATACACAAAATGTAACATTCCTTCCCAGTCACATAAAACTGAAACTATATACATATATTACATACACTAATACAGTTTCACAGACAGATGATTCACTTTTGTGATTTATGACAATAACCAATGTATCCATCTGTCGCTCTTTGACCTCTCAATCCTGAGGATCAGTCGCAGTATGCTATTGCAATTTATCGTTTTACCATATGCTTGCTCAGTGTATTTAATATATTGGTAGTTTTTTTGAAGAGTTCTTTTTGACTTGATTCTCACATTGTCTATATTTCTGATATACATTGCAAGGTCATGACCTTGAACTTCAGCTAGTGTTGCTGCTGTTAGCAACATATTCACTAC